GTGTTGCTTAATCCCAATCCCACTGTTGACAGATCCATTTTTTTTTGCTTTGTTTTTTTACAACCTAACAAAAATATGAATGAATTGATCCTTTTTTTTTTTGCCAGATACCCTACAAGTTGTCTAAAGTTGTTGTCTGATGTAAGGTATTGCCATTCTATGCCTGCATCCATTGCAAAACGTCAACTGTGGGTTATTTTTATTCCATCTGACGAGTAATCAGATGATTTTGCCAAACAATGAATGAATTTATTGAAAGGTGTCCACTGAATAATGTTGTAAAGTGTGGACTTGCTTTGTTATTCAGACTTAACTCCATTCATTTATTTTGGTCTGATGAGTGGATTCCGTTGTAAAATTCCCATTGAAAGTATCAGTAATAAAATATCACAGTTGTTGTGTTTAAAAGTATCTGAACGATGTTTATTCTTTAAAAAGAAAAGTTGTGTTTTGGAACGTGTTGGCAATGAGTATGTACAATACTGGGGAATTTTACTATACACTGTATAAGAGTGTTATTTGCGACTGTCTAGAGGTTCTATTTCTTTATATTTTCACACCTCACCATGGTGGTACTCAGACATTTATGCGTGATATTTTGGTCTTTCGTGAGAGCGGTAGACAGATCCCAAGTGCGTGTGACTTGGTTATGCAACCATGGTGGCGATGAGGTGGGCATGGATCCCCCATCGAGAAACTTATACCCTCATCTGGCGCTGCCACTGCTAAATAATACGCTGTGGTGGAGGTGAGGTGGGGCATTCTTCTCATTGGCCGGACTAATAATAAACTACGGTACTTCCTACAGGCCTGCTGTTGACAATATATCATTGTTGGATTTGCATAATAACAAATTACAGTAGAACCCCTATTAAGGGGACACCTTCAGGACAAAAAAAGGTTTCCCTTAATAGGGATGTCCCCCGAATAGGGGGAAACTAACCAAGAATATGAAATTGACCCTTTAATAGGGTTTAGCATGTAGTCATACAATGAGGACATAGGTCTATTTGATTTCAGTTGATCTATAAATTAAATTAAATTAAATTGTAACAATAATTCGCAATGCAAATACAGTACATCTATGATGAAGTAGACCTAATAAATGTAATTAAAACAATATGAAAGTTGTATATTATTCCAGATTTCAGTGCTATGACAGACATAGCAGAATGAATAGAGTAATGACTTATAATCAGGGTGGGAGGATTGAAGGGGCTCCTCTCCTAATTGTTTTTCAAAAATTCATTTAAAAAATGGAGAAAACAAGAAAATTATATTCAAATTTAAGTCTTTGAGTGACATTTCTGGCCATCTGATGTGCATAAAATAAGGTGATTTGAGGTGACTACTTGACCGTGATCTTTTTTTTTTTGTGGGGTGGGGAAGGGGGCGAGTGCCCTTGCCCCTCCCTAAATAGGCCAACGCCACTGCAGACCTCCGTCGCTCCTCCTGGCAGCATCACTTGACAGAATAGTATTGATAATAGTGTTGCTTTAATAGGTGGGGTTGGGGGTGGTTTCTTCAAATTTTAAAATTTGTTATAATTTATAGCATAATTTCCCATCAGCCTTGGCATAATTTGATTGCCATCACTGGTCACACTGTTGGAATTGCCTTAATTTTTCTGTACGTGAACGCATCAATATGAACGTGTGTCACCGTAATCGAGGGATCTGTTTGAAACATAGTATCAATATAATTGAATAAATCAATTCAAAGAATCAAATAAGTTATCAATTTTTAATGAGATACGATTGATCTTTAATAGAGAGGTAAGAATGCATTCACTCCACACTTGTGGCCTAGATATGCTAATTGGGGTCCCAACGTTTGGTCCGACTCTCTACAGAAATTCTGTATCTAAAAATGTCCCCCACCTTTAAAATTAACAGTTTCCCTTCCTTCAGGAAGGTTATGTAGATTTCCACATTTCTTCCCGACGTGTATTCCTTCCCGACGTGTATTCCTTCCCGACGTGTATTCCTTCTGGTTGACGTAGCCAGTGATAAGTTGTTGTCTGCCAGCCCTGAAGACGATTCTTGAGATTCTGCGAAATGTTTGCATACGCATAATCTGGAAATAATTTATTCAATTCCGTCGGATCTTTTACAACATCATATAGTTCCCATTCGGCCGTGTAGTAATAATTAGGCCTATGTAGATTTTTAAACCATTCCGTCGGTTGTCCTGTCATAAGAACACCTACTTCAGCGTCCATTCGGTCGATAGCAGAATACTGCGCCACGAGATCTGCACGCGTGTGACTGGTGTCTGGTAAGAACTTACGGTACTTCTGTCTCCAATTGCAGCAATCCCCGATCTAAGGGGTTAACAGGGGAGACCCACAATCCCACCTCTCCCCGGTCAAATCACTGACTGTATTCAACAAATGGTATAAAAAATTACTATTTACAAAGGGCCCTAATTAAGTTGTAATATATGTTTCAAATATCATCTTCTTAATATTCTTTTTTAGAGTTGGGAAGGATGTCATTTTGTTTGGTCCTAAGGTGGTTTGGAGATCATTTCAATATGATGGGCCATTAATAAATATAGATCTTTTACTTGTTTCTAGTCTGTTAAACGGGATGTGCATATTAATTAATGTTTTTGCTCGATCTGTTTTTGGTTCCGGGTTAATTAATTGTTCAATAGGGGCTGGGAGTTGGTGAAGATGATACTTGAGCATAAAGCATGCAACTTCAATTTTATGTTAAATAAAAGAATAAGAAATGTTCACTGATCAGCTCCACTAGGCGCCTTTCCATCGGACTTTGCTACAAATAATAGTTGCCAAAAATAAATCGGACAACAAATTATGGTACGGTACCGTACATTGGGATTAGGCCTACTTTTATTTGAATTCTAAACCGTGATCCGCGGCGGACCAATGTTTGATCCGACCGAATAGTGTGATGGAAGGTAAAAATGGAGTAGGCTATGTAGTTGAAATTTGTCCACCAACTCACTGACAGTATTTGAGGTATGGTGTGGAATATTGATAATTTGGGTTCCATAATAACAAGTGCCTATATTTCAGGTTGGCTCATTTTTTGTCTGTGGTAAAAAAGCAAAATCTACGTTGTATGATATGACAAAACTTAAAGCCCCATTCCCGGCAAAATTTCACTAAAAACATTTTTTTTTCAGAAAAGATGCATATGCATTACTCTAATTATTATAAACAATGGAAAAATATTTGCATAAATTTTAGTTTTACGCAAAAGAATTAAAAAAATGAGAAATACAGACTATTTCTCATAGAATATTACCATTTTCTCGACGAATTCTTCGTTACTAGGCAAATTCAGAGGTTGTAGATCGCATCCGCCTATATCTATAAATTAATCTCTTTTTTACTGACAGTCGTTGCCATCAATAAATTCATTCACAGACTTTTTACAAGCAATTTGCTTCATTATTGTGTCTTTATTTTTTGATTGTTCTTCATTTTGTTCATTTCTTGTCAAAGTTTTTAAACATTGGTATCATTTGTCTACCGAACCACATCAAAACGCTTTCGGACCCTTTTCATTTGGTTCGGTTGATATTGTCGTCCAGTAGAAATAATGGTTTTTTTTTAAGTTTACAATAATACAGTATATTGAAAACTTTACAAAACATACGAGCAAATTATAATGCAAAGTCTATGTTTCTATTTTATCAACAAGATTAGGAAATCCAAGATTATCTTTCTAATATAAATATATATATATATATATTTAAAGTTCAACATATTCATATCAAAATTCCGTTTATTAGCACATAATCTATTATCTATTTATTAAAAAGCAAGTAAATTGTATAGATTCTGTTTACTTCGCTGTACTATTATAATGTGCACATTTTATAAATAAGATTCTACCTAAATGATCAGTTTGTAACAAATATAATACTGATACACTTTTATACTTGTTCAAATTATTTGTATCAATACAGGTATATATAATAGGGACCTAAACAGCGTTTTCAAGGGTAAAAAACAGGTTTATTTGCAATTTATCTAGAAAAATGTTGCATTTTAAGAAGAAATAAATTGTCATTGTAATGCAACAAGGGCCAAAGGCTAGAATTATTAATAAAGAAAAAATGATGGAGCCTACATGTTATTTTAACAAATTTAGTAGGCCTATCACTTTTCATCAAAACACGGAAAGCTAATCACTTTAACAACCTCCGGACAGGACCGACTGGAAGGTTTATTAAAGTTTCAATCGGCCGGAACACAATTTTAGCGATGCATAAACATCTAATCTGAACTTTCCCCCCGTCTAGGACGGCAAACAACTTTAACTTGGACCTAATCCGCTTTAGTGTTTTTCAACCAACCGTTGAGTTTGTGACTGGAACCCGGTCCCCCACCTGGGTACCGCCCCTGGACCCCGATGAGACAAAACGGCAGTTTTGAAAGAAGAAAATGTATCGTCTTGGCGTATGCTGCTGGCGACGGCCGATCATTTTAAGGCAGTATGCAGTATCATTACCACCACCACTGTCATCATTACCACCATCATCTATCGCTGTCTCTTATACACATCTAGATGTGTATAAAGAGACAGCACCAACTCACTGACTTATTTGTATCAATACAGGTATATATAATAGGGACCTAAACTGCGTTTTCAAGGGTAAAAAAAAAACAGGTTTATTTGCAATTTATCTAGAAAAATGTTGCATTTTAAGAAGAAATAAATTGTCATTGTAATGCAACAAGGGCCAAAGGCTAGAATTATTAATAAAGAAAAAATGATGGAGCCTACATGTTATTTTAACAAATTTAGTAGGCCTATCACTTTTCATCAAAACACGGAAAGCTAATCACTTTAACAACCTCCGGACAGGACCGACTGGAAGGTTTATTAAAGTTTCAATCGGCCGGAACACAATTTTAGCGATGCATAAACATCTAATCTGAACTTTCACCCCGTCTAGGACGGCAAACAACTTTAACTTGGACCTAATCCGCTTTAGTGTTTTTCTTATTTTGCTTCACTTATTTTTGTATAAACACTAAGCGATTCTTTAAATACATTTACCAACCCGCATTTCAAAGGGGTTTTGGATGAACATGTGTTTTGCAGAAACACATGCGTGATCATAAATTTGTCACGCATTTTAGCACAAGTCTATGCGTGATAACGAATTCATGGGAAAATGTATTCAAAATTAAAAGAAATTGGTTCTATTAAAAATATATAAATGGTCATGCAGTACCATGAGTCATTGAAGAGCTTTCGTTTTCTCCTTCGAGAATCAATTCACCGAGAACATTTATCTTTCCCGACCAAAACAACCCAGCAAACCACGCACATCTATTAGTTGCGTGCGGTCTTAAGTTTGCGCGTTCATTGTCACAACCAACCGTTGAGTTTGTGACTGGAACCCGGTCCCCCACCTGGGTACCGCCCCTGGACCCCGATTAGACAAAACGGCAGTTTTGAAAGAAGAAAATGTATCGTCTTGGCGTATGCTGCTGGCGACGGCCGATCATTTTAAGGAATTATGCAGTATCATTACCACCACCACTGTCATCACCACCACCATCATCATCTATCGTCCGGCGACATTATCACCACCATCATCATAATCACCATTATTACACTCATTATATTACCATGATCGCCAGTGTCGTCGATTTGTTATTTCAATCGTCTGGCCGGTTCTTGTTTTTCTCTGTCTATGTTTGTTTAAATACAAATTTCCTGTGTTTTTGGAGTTCGGAACGTCATTATAAGTCCAAGGTAAATACACTGACAACAAGCGGAAAAAATAAGACTTTCGGTTCTTCCGAACGAAATGCATGACGAAATGTAATATAAATACGGTATAGATTATCGGAAATGTTAACTTTGCCTAGTAGCTCTATTAATATACTGACGCATGGATCTCTCAAAGCATTAAATTGTAAACGAATTGTGTAGTTTTCAGTATATTACTATATTGCTGTAGCCAGGATTTTCAAACAGTGCACGACAGTATCAGGGTGGACCCATTTTCGCGTAAATACAAATAATGTGGACCTATTTTCTTAAAGGTTGACCCATTCTACGCAAAAAAATATGAAAAATGTGGACCCATTTATTTAAAATTTTACTCATTTAAGCTAAATATGAAACATCTGGACGCATTTTTCAAAGTGAACTCATTTTATGCATGAAACTGCATAATTTGGACCCACTTTTTATAATGCGGACCCATTCTTTGTGGAACGATTAGCAAAATCGTGTGGGACTGTTCCAACTGTCCCAATAGCTGGCTATGGCATACAATGTACATTATTATAAACAGCATGATATATTTTAAACTTGAGTTATTAGAGGATGCTAATTTATTAAATTAATTTTGATATTGGAAGTACAACTCCATTTTCTCATACACTGCCTTGTGAATAAATTAAGTACAATTGTTATCCTTTGTAACAGAAAATGCAGTGAATCGTGCAGTGTTTGGCACCATCACATTAATTATTCTGTTTATAAATGCATTGTAACTTATAATATTTTTTTCCCTCAATTACCGTAATTGACGCGCCACAACTTTGTCTCTCTGTCAAGTAGATACCGTAGAAAACAACCTGCATTAAATGATGGTAATGTGATTTCCATATTGTTAGGCAGTCTATGGGGTGTTTAATTATTAATACTGAATAAACATGAAGTTTTAAATTAATTATAAGCAATCACGTGACTTAATAGTTGAAGCAGACGATGTTGTGAATAATGTCCAGACAGTTGTTCTCGTTTCACATCCGCTATTGACGCGTCACAGTTTACAACTCTTAAGTACCGTCTTGGGTAGTGTTCGGTAAACAGAATCAGGATTTATGTTTTTGGGTTCAGTACCTCATTGCGAGGAAGGGAAGTGACGGCAAAACTTCATTACGAAGAACTACGTACAAGAGGTTTGTAATTGACTCCAGTGTTATTATTCTTCAAAATATAAAGCTTGTCGTGGCTGATTGAAAAATAGTCTGTTGCTAGGATATCACCGAGGAAAAAGGCCTTGCTGTTATTTCTACGATCATTGTCATTTGTTGTTAAGTAGGCCTACCTATAATTGATGTTACCTCACTGTTAATTTGGATGCACCACTATTTTTGTTGTGTGTGCCACCGATCTTAAGGTGTTACTCCTAATAAATTGATTGATTGATTGTGTCATCTTTTTAAAAGAACTTGAAGAAAACGAAGACTTTGAGGAGAGGCAATGTCGACCTTGACAATATTAAGTGGGTTTCTACTTGTTGGATTTTCAAGTAAGTGCCGTGAATGTTTTTATGCCTATCCAGATGATGATTAAACGTAATATATTAATAATAATAATAATAATAATAATAACAATAATAATAATAATAATAATATGCTAACAATGAAATAATAATAATGGCAGTGAGGATGATGATGATAACGATAATGATGAGGATAATAATAATAATAATAATAATAAAGAGGCCTAATATAACAATGATGATAATAATACTTATTATTATGAAATACATTTAATGAAACCACTAAATATTGTTATTTTATGATCCATGCATTTAGAAAGAGGTTTTAGAAGGAAATTATTAATTATATCACCTGCTAGATGTCACTTTTAAACTTAATGCTACATTAGCCTCTGCCTATTTCCAATCGGGAGTAATTCAGTAAATACAGTTTTACCCCTATTATTAGGGGGTGGGGGGCACTTTTAGGACTAATCATAAAATTGGTTTAATACGTTGTTGTTCCCCTAGGAAATAGATAACTCCACACCTCCATTAACGAATTCTTGATTGTAGCTTTATTTGACGTTACAGAAGTAATATATTTTTCGAATCTGACAAAATGATTGTTGTTATGGTTAATGATTGTTGAAGTGCTCACCGTAATTGAAACATTGAACAACTTCTGAATTATTTAAAGACGAACATTATAATATTAATTTAAAGACAAATGGCTCTACTTAAATATCAATGTAATTTATTCTATGTTAGATTCAGCTGGTGTGTTATCTTAGTTTGAATCAAAGTACAGTACTGTATTTATTCGAATGAACACATCGGGGCGTTTATTGTTGAAACGGGTTTTTGAGGGAGCCTTTATTCGAGGGAGGCGTTTATATATTT